GATGATTTCCAGTATCGTTCGGGCTCTCTAATTCCTGTCTCTTATACACATCTAGATGTGTATAAGAGACAGGTCTTGGACACACTCAGGACGTGACAAAGGCTGCCCATCTGTGTGTGTGTGTGTGTGTGTGTGTGTGTGTGTGTGTGTGAGAGAGAGAGAGAGAGAGAGAGGGGGAGGCCAGGAGGATAGTGCAAGATTGCTCACCATAGATCCCAGCAGGTACTGCTCCAAGTTCCGGAACGGACATAGTAAAGGTCGAAGCCAATGGATCATACAAACATAGACAGACAGGGCGAAAATACAAAAAACAAAACAAAACAAAAAAAAAACAGAATCAGCCGGGAATCGAACCGGAATCAAGTAAACATCAAAGAGTCAGTTCCGGAATCAAAATACAATTCGGCAAACGAAATACTCTTGGAAAACGAACACACACACACACACACACACACACACACACACACACACACACACAGACTTTCTCTCTCTCTCTCTCTCTCTCTCTCTCTCTCTCTCTCTCTCTCTCTCTCTCTCTCTCTCACACACACACACACACACACACACACACGTACGTGTATTACGTTTTCGGTATTAAACATCTAGAAATATGACGCCGAACATATATGTATATATAAAAGCTTGGATTCCTACCAATGTAATCTCTGCATTATGGACGGAGAAATCTTTTCGCGAAAACTGTTTTATTGTGGAATCCATCCGACCTGCTATTAATGCGACAAGTCTACGAATCATTGTTTCTTAGTATGGTCGATGAACCGGTCTTCTTTTCCTTCCTTTTTTTTTATATGTTGGTACACTGGAACGAATCAGTCTTCTGTCACAGTCCCTTTTTTTTTTCTTTTTCTTTTTTTAATCCTTTGTAGTCGTTATTACAGAGAGCACAGCCTGTTGTGAACAGTAGGCAGAGGGGGGTGAGAACCAAAAAAAGAAACGGAAAAGAGGCAGAAGGGGGGAAAAAAGGAATCAAAACCGGGGGGGTGTCACCGACTGTTTCGTCCGGACTTTCCCCGACTCATCAGGAAGATTCGAACCCCCGACAGTCCGCAAATCCACCTTATCCCCAGATGACAGTCTGAGTGATAATCCACCTTATCCCCAGACGGATAAGATAGGTGGGGACCACCCACTCCTTCCAGGTTGGCACCGACCACTCGCGTCAAGTCAAGGATACCCGGCCTCTCTGCTGAATCTCCTAAATAGAGCGACCAAGCGACCGAGCGAGCGAGAGAGAGAGAGAGAGAGAGACAGAGAGAGAGAGAGAGAGAGAGAGAGAGAGAGAGAGAGAGAGAGAGAGGCCAGAAAGAGTACTTTATTTCACCTCAACATGGTAAACAGGAAGCAAGAGAAGGAGAGAGAGGAAGAGGGTACGGAGAGAGCGAGAGAGTTAGGGAGAGAGGGAGAGAAGGAGAGAGAGGAGGAGGATCACGGAGAGAGGGAGAGAAGGAGAGAGAGGAAGAGGATTACGGAAAGAGGGAGAGAGTTAGGGAGAGAAGGAGAGAGAGGAAGAGGATTACGGAGGGAGGGAAAGAGTTAGGGAGAGAGGGAGAGAGGGAGCGAGGGAGAGAGGGAGAGAGAGAGAGGGAGAGAGGGAGAGAGAGAGAGGGAGAGAGGAGAGAGAGAGAGGGAGAGAGGGAGAGAGGGAGAGAGGGAGAGAGGAGTTCCCGGCATGCTAATGGAAAAGGGAAAGGGTACATTACAGAGAGACCGAAGCAACCAAATGCTCGATGCATATAGTCTGGCAGAGGGGGGGGAAGAAAATGGGTGGAAAATTAGAAATAAATGGGCGAAAAAGAAAAGAAAAAACATGGGCGAAGCCTCAATGGTGATTGTTCATTTATTCTCCCCAGAAACAAATCTTTATACGTACAATGCTGGGAATGGGCATTCGTGTTTTATATGTATTTTACGCCGTGTTCGGTCCATCTCATTCTCTTTGGCGGATGGATACCGCTCATCGTTTCCATGGGAAAAGAATAATACGTAAAACTAAAACACATATAAAAGGGACGACATAGTGTGCATACAAACTGAAACAAAAATGTTTTTTTAATGATTTTTGTATTACTGTTTTTTCTTAACGAATTTTATATTATTATTTATTTATTTAATGATATTTTTATTTATTTATTTAATGATATTTTAGTGCTTAAAAAAAAAACTGAGTTTTTGAAAGCCTTCTTCGATAGTTTTTTTCTGGTTCAATGATCCAATATTGTTTCATTGATTTTATTTTCATTTTCATTTTTTTTCCTTAGGATGCAACTGACTCACTGGTTGCGCCGACGAATGCGAGTAGGAAGTAGAATCCAAATAGCGTCGTTCTTGGAGCTGATTTGG